TTACCGTCCCCCCGGGAACGACCCATCCATCTCCATCGGATCCCTCTCGCGCGCGAGAGCCGGAATCGGCCGTCCCGGTCCCGCTCGATCCACATCGGGGACACGCAGGGCGCGCGCGCAGCACTCGATACGCGAGCTATTAACCCTCCGTGCGAGCGTGCTTTTTGAAAAATGAACAGGCTCGGCGAGCGTGACCGAAATGCAAAGCGGAGCCACGGCAAAGCCGGCCGATGCCATATCCGCGGCGTTGAAATTCTTTCCCCGTCGCGGATTGAGTTGCCGGACTGTTAACGAGGTACGTCGATGAACTATCGCGCGCGAGGGACGTTTGACCGTGACGAATATCGTTATCCGCTCGCGTATTCGATGTCCCGCCTGATGACGCTTCTTCTTGCGTCGTGTAATAATTTTTTCCCCGTGCCGCGGAAAAGGAACTCGCGCATCCTCTAAATTAATCAATAAAAATTCCATCCGTCGCGACGACAAAGACCATTGTACATCTGCGATGCTTGTTACGCCGCGATTAGAATTACGTCGGGGAATTAGGACGTAATTCGCTGGGTGAATAATAATTAATTTTCGCAATCAATATTCTTTGTGTGTACTGGATGCGACGTTAATAGTTTAGACGCGGTAGGCAAACGACTGTTGCCTAAATCAAATCAACGCTCGAGCTCACATTTAGCGCATCGACATCGTAGATCTGTGGATGAATGTAGTCGCGTCCCCTTCTACATGGGAAACTACTTTACTCATATAATTTAAGCGAAATAAATCATTAAACAATCTCGATGTCTCACCATCAATTTATTTCTATACGTTTCACTCCTCTACAAATCTGGACGGAGTTGCGCTCTGATCTTCGACTTACCTATATATCAGCTTCCGTCTGACGCTCCTTTTGAAAAAGCCGCTGCAACCGTTGCAGGCGAGTATCCCGTAATGTTTGCCGGAGCTGGTATCGCCACAGACCACGCATATCAGTCCAAGACTACGCGGCGGTTTGCTGCCGTGCTGCGGCTGCTGCGGTTGCTGCTGTTGCTGTTGTTGCTGCTGCTGATGCTGCACCTGACCCAACAAATGCGGGTGTCCGTTTCCGAGCGCGGTCAAATATGGTGACCGAGCCAGGGGGAAATCCGTCGGCATTCCTCTGCAAAGGGGCACCGGGCATTCCTGGACCGATCGGGAGGCGTAGGGATCGTGGCTGGACGTGGATCCCGTCGCCCCCAGAGGACTGTAACGTTCCGGCAGACCCGGGGAGATAACGCTGCTCTCGCCGGAGTCTGGAATCGTGAATTTCCTTATTTTGTAATTTTCGCGAAAAGGTGTGACAAAAGAGAGAAAAAGAAAAATTATAATACAATAATTAAATTAAATAATTTAAGCGTTTCAGTTATATACTAATATTTATTTACATAATAAAAATCTTCATCTTAATAAGTTATATAATATTTTAAAATATTTAGAGAGAGAGAGAGAGAGAGAGAGAGAGAGAGAGAGAGAAG